GAAATAATAACAGAGCAAATGTTGCCTTAGAAACGACTTATCCAGCTGCTGGGTTATTCGCACTCCACCGAACGAATTGCTCAATGAGGCAATCAACGGTTACCTCCAACTGTATCTGCTAATTCACATATACGCATCAAAACATATATATCAGAGGAACACAAGGATGGGTTGTGATGACATGTCTGAGGATATTCCAGGGAATTTGCGGCTGAGAGGTGCAAACATCTCCAAAAGTGTTATTGCTTGTCACTTTATTGACAGTGGTTATGAAGTCACAGTTCAGAAATCGTCTAAAATAATTGGTAAACAGATGAATTAGAATTCGTTACCTTCGTTGAAGCGTTAGCCACTAAACGATTATATGTTTAGAAGGAAACCGTTGGCCGCCTATGCCTACAATGGTAAAGACTTCTGATTGGTTGACAGTCAGCATACTTTTCACACATCACTGTCAACTAGTATAAGTTGGGTTTTTTTTGTCATTTTATGTTACACACTGTTGACCTAATTATCTGGATCCTACTCACATTAACCCTTAGTTAGGATAAATCTTATTACCTTTCACATATTTTATGTAGACTTTTTGAATATGTTGAATACATCTCGCTCCCCCACTTATCCGAACTTCTTCTCTAGAATATTCGTCTAATCTTTCTATAAACTGAAAAATAACGAGAACATGAGAGAAGTATTATGTGCGGAAGACAAGTCAGTTAATGAGGTTGTGAACTTCGACCAACTGAAGTGGCTTGACTATGGTTTGTGCATGCCAAGCCATCATCTACAATGTCAAACAATGTTAGTCGAAGTAGGATTGAATTGAAAAAAGTCTCAGACCAGTTAGACTCAGACTTAGCAATCACTCTACGAATTATCTGACCATCAGTCTGAGTTGAGTAGAAAGATGCACACTACCTGACTGGAATCCATCAGACAACACCAGTCAGTGTTGGCAGACTCTAGATCACATGGTTCACAATCGATAACAAGGATGCAAATGTTTTCATCCATCAGCGTCTTTAAATATTTGAACATCTTCATCAACCTTCACTTATTCTTTTACCACCCCTCCTATCCACTTATTCTCTGAACGCTCAAATGAAGTTCAACAGTCTGAACCAATTTGTTTACCTATTTGTAGGCTGATGCATATCACATACTCCTGGCCCTTTACTACCCATTTCATTTAACAAAACCAATTATATCTATGTGAAATCGTAAAACTTCTTGTTCAAATGCATATCAATCGTTTAATTTATTCAATAATCGAATGAAACTTTCATCATCAAATAACACAATATTTTAAAAAAGGAAGGTTAGTTAGTTTGTTTTATCTCATTAAATGAAGTACAATTTACTACTTTATATGTGTAACTCAGAAACGCGGTAATTACAAAACTTGAGAAGAGAGAAAAAGTGATACATGCCGTGTAGCACATGTTTTCATTTTCACCTTGAATTTTGAATATAATCATTCTCTTCTACGGATCAAATTTTTGTTTCCTTTCATAAAGAATATTACATGCAGATATTATCTTGTTCAGTAAATTATTATTATTATTATTATTACTGTTATCATCATCATCATTGTAATGAAGGAGAATGTGCACCAATTAAGTACTTTAGGTGGAGGAGGAGGGGAAACATTCACATAGGGGAACGACATCAGAAACACACAATAGTAGAGTTTTTGCTTGTAGTAATAACACTAATTCTAATCAACTCTGGTTAAGTGTTTCAACAGTTTGTTGCTCTGCTCTGCTCTACTCTGCTTTTCGTGCTGCTCTAACAAATATTGACACATTGAACAGTGAACATTTTGTTTGACTATAATAACAAACTTTTAAGGCATTGATGGATATAAATGTGTGTGTGTGTGTGTGGATGTATGATTGCGTTAATTCTCTTTCTCTCTCTCTCTCTCTCTCCGAACAAAATTAGTATAATAGTCTCACACAGAGGCCAATGTATAATCATCATCATGTGTCTTCTACATATAGTGGGTATGCATGTGACAGAGTCATACAATTTATACGTAGAAAATACAAATTAGATAAATAAACAGAAATAAACAGAATACACAGTGAACAAGTCTATAAAAGATTGGTTGGAAAAAAGTAATCTTGGCGCAACAATAATAATGACAGGATAGATCAGGCATATTTTACACCTCATCAGTACAGGTGTGTGTGTGTGTGAAATAAAAAAACATAAAAGAGTAGTAAATCTGATATTATAAAAATGTGTGACGAAAGTGAGTGGAACACTTTCGGTAATGTCATCATCGCGACTGTTGGCAATGGTGGTGGTGTTGTCAAAAGTCAGGCACACACAAAGAGAAGGGAAGACTATATATGATGTCCACAATAATCTGTAATTCACTAGCAATAAGGTGCTTCAAATGCTTTCACCAAATCCAGTACACGTGAAACACAACTCTCTGAAAATATTGATTTAGTCTAAATTCAAGAGAGGAAGACAAAAAGCGATCTGATAAGAGTTTAAAGTTCAACAGAACAGAAAATTATTTAAACACGCTTGCGAAATATACACACATGCGTTGAGTTCATTGTTCTATCAAAATTCACCATGCAGCAATTATAATCAAGGATGATCATCGTAAAGCAAGACAGCAAATGCCAATTACACACGAATCAATCAGTGAACATATAATCCATGAAGCTGGAAGGTGAGGAGTAGAGCACTTTCGGTAAACTCATATGTAACTACTACACATGAAACTCTACTCACGTACACACACACAAACACATTTGAATTTCTAACAAGGATCATCTTGTGTGCGTAACCTACACATTATCATAGTATAATACACCTTAATTTGAGTAAATTAAATAAAAACGATCGTTTCTCGCATTCTCCACATACACACAAAGTAGTTGCCTGCGAAGCATGAATGAAACCTGATATGTTTGTTACCATGGTGTATACCAACTAATTGTGACATAAAATTGACTATAGTAAACACGAGTTACACACAGTGTGTGTACACAAAATCTTGTGTTGTGGCATTACCCTTATGCCTACATCATCATGTTGAAAGTAGATCATCACATCATTATACAGGCAACATCACTTGCACCAGTACTGTTGAAAAGAAAAAAATGCAACATCCTCAGTGATAATATTACACTTTACAACAAAACTTTCATCAATTGAAACAGTTGATAAAAGTGATAGATGAACAGGGGGACAACATCTTTCCATCTCATTTTTATAAGAACACATTTTCAATGAGACTATATATCAGATGGTCGGCATTCGACAGATTCCAAGGGGGGATAAAATGACAGACAACTTGACAAGTCACAACAGAATCTCAACCACCAACTCAGTGTTCTAACCAACTGAGCTAACAACTCATTTCTCTGTTTATCCTCAGAATATAATCAAGCTGCATGCATGCATGCATGCATGAATGGATTCATTCTTTTAAAGGCAACACATTTTTGAATCTGGCGGGTTATTTCTGACATACTAATTTAAACAAAATACTGACTAACACTTCAAAATTCAAACCAGGGAGAAAACGCTTCATTTCTAAATTCGAAATCAATGAACTTGATGAATAAATAAGAATTGTGTAAGGAGTCACCAGTGATATCGAACAAACTGTACTCAAAAGTGAAATATCTAACTATTCACAAACCGCCAACAAGTGTAACCGTCGTCGCCTTTTCATCCTACGGTCTACTAGAAGACGGAACAGTATAGTCCCAGTGTGTGCAACTCCGATTCTACTGAAGAACTAACTAACTAACTGGATTTTATAGAATGTCAAAGTACAAATGAAGTTCTAAATAGTCTCATTCAAGTTTTTTTATTTTTTATTAGTAAGATGCAGAACCTGTAAACTAATTCACATTAGGTCAATCTTTTCGTTCCACCTCAAATCAGATTCTCTCAAAATTTTATCTATGAGATATGCAGAATTTCACATTATTAGTAGTAAATTTGTTTTTATGACTTTGGAATTTCATAGAATTTCATAGAATTTTCGCTGACCTTTAAAAACTACTAGTCACTGGTTTGTTATTGACACGAGGAAGCAGCTTCTAAATTCACCGATAAGATGCAAATCGATGCTCCAAGACTGACATACAATAAAAAGGATACGGAATAAAGTAAGTGGGCTGATTATCACTTTAGTGTTGCTATCACTCTCCATAAGGTAACAGTCAATATAGTCTATATCACCGTTGAGATGTCTTGCAAGACTGTAAGACTGTGAAATATGCCCAGCGGAAATGAAGAAAGAGAGAGTTGAATCATCTTCCACTCTACGTGTTCTAGAATAATTCATCACATGTAGTGGAAGTACTAGATGGATGATATTAGGGTTGTCGATCTGAACTGAACAGAACTGACCAAAATGGCTTCAGCGCATATTACATGCAAACCACATCACCATCTACTTTGACGTAGAGCAAGTAGAGATTCAAAGAGGACTAAGAATGTTTATGCAGAGACATGATACTTATCTTTGGGGGTGGAAGTCATCAAGATATCAGAGAATAGTTGGTGAAATACTTTGAGTGGCATGGATAATAATGAACCAGCAAAGTGGTTATATACATCTATTCATTATCTTCCTGGTGAAGAAGCATTAGGTTATTTTATCACTAAACACTGAGTTGACGTCCCTTCATATTTATTCATTTCCCAAGGATTGTCATGTCAGACTAAATTGATCTCTCTGTCTCAGCGTAAGAACTGCTTCAACTGATGCTTCAACATTGTCTCAAGTTCTTACTTTCATGTTACTTGAGTAGTAATGGTCAGCAGTGAAATCCAGGATATACGTTTGTCTCCATTCAACACTCATCAGTTGCATTTTCCTACATCCTAATCAATGATGATGTCCCCGTCGGGATTCGAACTCATCACCATATAACTCGTTAACCTATTCACTGATTCAAGTGATTGTTATGAAAAATGCATTTTATAAAAAAACTTGAAAAATACGATTATAAATAATGTCAGCATACTTTAGCATTTTCAGCATGCTTTCGAAGAATAGGCATCGGTTGAACAAGTGAACTTGAAGAGTATTTATTGGTAGATTCTTCTGGGTCGATTGAAATAGATTTCTTTACAATCGGCCATCCAGAATCATTGATATCCTCCTTAGCTTCATTACAATCACGAGAAACTTTTTCAACAGACGATTTACACGGTATGAATACAATTGATGGGATAGATTCAGAAGATGTAAATGATAAACTTTCATCATGTTGTTGTTGTTGTTGTTTATCGTCGAGATCATTCAGTATATTTACAGGCTTTAGTTTTACACTATTCTGTGTTGTCTCCCCCTTCACACTGGATGCAATGAACATGGAATGTGGACGGATATTCTGACCACCACCAGTCACCACTTCATGATTATGTGATAATGGTGTTATTATACGATCCGATTCAATGAATGAATTCAACTTTATTCGTTCAAATCCAATTCCTTTCTTCGGTGGTTTATACGGTGTTGGTGTATCATGATCCCATCCAGTTGTATAATCAGGTTGAAGGGAGGGTTGAGATTCACGTTTCAAAGAGTCCGATTTACAGAAGGATTTGATGCTGAAATTTCTCAACAAAAAGGAAGAGAGTGGATACAACTTTGTAACAATCACAGTTTGGTGGATAAAACTAACAACTTTTAACTATCGGAGAGATGTAACGAATTAAATCCAGTGAAATATGCTTTAACTTCAATGTATTCCTTCAAATATCAACTCCAGTTAACACATCATACATTAACAACGGTACACTAATACTATCGTAATTTTTGAATAAAGCGAGGTGAACTTGATTAAGGAAGTGTATCTATAGTCAACTATAGAAATGCGGCTTATCAGTTTAGGCAGTCGACTTTCAACTGCTTCAACCACAACAGACTGACGAGCAACTGACTGATTTTGAGTACAAGAAACGTTTCATGCACCCAGATAGCCAAACCTACATATAAGGTTATTCTAAATTTCAATAATAGTAGAGGGCGAAACTAATTGTCATTACAAGTCAACCGACAAAACATATACTTTAAACTAGACGATAAAGTTATGAATATGCAGCAATACTGACTAACTTACCTTCCTTTCAAGCTAATCCATGATACTGGAGAATTAAACTGACTTGAATTCTGACTATCATGAATAGTTTCCTCGGTATTTATAATGCTTGAAAAACTTGTCAAATCCACATCTACTGAACTAGGCAATGTTGTATGATCAGACGTTTTATTGATTTCTTCTTCCTCTTCTTCTACTACTACTACTTCACCTTCCTCTTTGATTAGATCCAATTGAGGATTGGGAGTTGATATGAAAGAATTAATTGGCACATTGGTAGATGATGATGATGGGGAAAAGAAGCAGACAAAGTTGTCATCAATATTTTCTGATTGATGATTGGTAGCTTTTGTAGGTGGACGACGATTTCGAGGTCTACTGACAGCTAGTCGATGCTGTAAACTGATTAAACCTGAAGCATTGACTGATGATGGTGCTGAATTGATATACTCATGTGTACTAAGTGGAGTTGTTGTAGATGGGTAGGATGAATATGGACTAGCAAATGTCTTTTGATTTGGAGATGATGAATAATTTGATAAGAGGCTATCTGAACTTCTAGTAAATTTGGCAACTGTAGGAACCTTTGGTGGTAGATCATGACCTGGACGCTTTCGTAGTTTTGAGCTCAACTCCTCCTGACCACGTGAAATTAGATAGATAATGATAGTATGATACATGAAGCGAAATTTAACAGAAACTAATTGTAAGTTACATTGATATATGAAGGATAGTTTTTAGTGTATGTAAGTGTAGACTGTTCACATGACCTTCATCCCAATCTCAAATTTGATCATCAAGAGAATGATATCATCAGATTTCAAGCTGCTTATGCAGCTAAAAGGATTGATTGATCTACAGAAAAGTCCATCTGCAGATAAGACAATATTTGCACTTGTGATCTGGTATACACTAAACTTAGCTAAAAAGCTCGTCGAAATATCAAAGAGAATTAATGGTGATAACATGGTTGAAAAAGAAGTGAATCTACGAAAAATGTCCTAACTCGAAAAGTATATCCAGAAAAGTTCACTTACATTTAACCTAAAACTTGTAGAAGCATAAATAACAATCTTCAGGGCTTTAGAAGAGGGGTGAAGGATAACGGGGAATACAATGGTTACACGAAGGTGCGATAAAGTGAATGGATGAACCAAGTTGATAGGAAGCCCCCTAAGTTCAACTCAACATTCTCAGTCATCAGCTGCTAAGGTATGGATCTCAACCTTGTTTCATGTTACTGTGTGGGCAAGAAAAACCCTATTGGGTAATTTTGTCCCTCAGCTGACCAATCAAAATAAGTGTCCAGCTTCTGACCTAATGGTTTTATTTTCTGAGGTAAAATGGTATATAAATGATATGCTTTTTGTTAAATAAAATGTTTCATTCCCGTCATATGCAGATTTCGTCTTGTGATTTCCGTGGTTCAGTGAAGTGTCAGGTCTGAGAGAGAACAGTCGCTATTTTTATCCAGGATGGGTTGATTAGGAGGTCGATCTACAGAAAACCTACATGGATAGAGCAATATCTATATTTACATAGCTATTACCTAGTCCAATATAAACGCGGTTTAGTTAGATGCTTATTCAACAGGATAAACCTGATATGTACTGATGACACCAGGGGGGAAGAAACCAACTTACTGACAACAACACTGATGCAGAATGGCTACCCGTTGAAATTTATCGATAGGTGCGAAAGTTATCCACCATTGAAAAGTGTAATGTTTGATTGCTAAGACAAATGTCTACATCTCATTACCATTTAGAAGTGAATCACATAGCTTTGTTGTGAGGAGAAGACTCAGATCGGCCATTTGTAAAACATCTCATGCAGCCAAGTTCAACAATGTAGAGAAAACAAAGTCCATGTTACAGTACAAACTTAAACAACATATAAACGATGACATCACCTCCCACTGTGTTTATCAATTTACATGTATGTGTGGACATACATATATAGGGAGGGGTAATCGTGATATGCAGTTAAGGAAGGTTGAACATATACTTCAGTGACTTCAAAAACATATGACCTCAACAGATCTATCTTCGTCTATCGCCAAACATATACTAGAAACTAACCATAGGATAGAAGACATGAAAACAGCCTTTAAAATACTACATAAAAGTGGTTAGAGCCGAGTGCTTAAATTTATTGAAGCTCTTGTCATCCCTCTGCTTTATGTATACAAAAACAATTTGTACTCACCTTGAACCTACCTTGGTAGTACTGATTGTAATTTTTATACCAAGAGTAACGTGATTAATAGTTTGTTTTTTTCCTCTTCCCTTCCTATTCCTACGATGTTTCCTACTAACTTCATTGACCCTTTTCGTAAATTTTCATATAAATAGTTCGATAAGCCCATGTGTGATCAGATTGTTCCAAATGTATAGTGCTAATACATCCATCACATGTTTCAGATAATCTTTATCTTCTCATTACGCAGTTTAAATCCTCGTATTTCTTGTTATTACATCAGTCACTTGCACTCGATCATAGAGCGTACATTACCCCCCTTGAGGCTGTAGATACCCCTTATCTTCTTTTAGAGCTTGAATATTCTTCTCTTCAAATTGTGTATTCTGTCATATAACTTTGTCTATTTTGATACCAGTCTTCTGATATCCACCTGTTCTTTTTGTACTACTGTGAAGTATGGTCACTTGAGGTGTGAACGACTCAACGTTGATTTCTTCTGTCTGTCCGTCTGTATGTCTGGCAGTAAAATAACTCGACAAGTTGCATGCAATCGAGAAATTTAAGGTGTTGCACCAAATGTTCAACGTTTCAAGTCATTGATTGTTTTCAGTGTTCATTTAGAACATATTGGGTAGCTTTTATTGATAAAGTAGGCTGGTTCTATACGAATTGATCAGTTGTGGGTAACCAACCTAACTGTCTAGTGCTTAGGGCTCAGCATTCATTGAATTCTGTCGACTAAATTATGCAGTGTACCACTCAGCTAAGTGACACCTATTACAAAGCCTACAAATTGGTTCCTAGCACCTAACACTGGCCTATGTCTCGCTAGGGAACAACATTATCAAGAGGATAGTTTAGAGAAGTATGTAATGGATTTATTGCACAAGTGCTACTTCACTAATCTATAGCCTCTAGGTAAGCCTATTCTCATGTTAGTTTAAACAATTATCGTGCTTTTATACAGCTCCATTGAAAGGCGACATGTCGGCTAACTGGATTTAATCAAGTTTGATTAAAACTTGTTATAACTACCTGGAGCGTTGCGAAAAGTGTACGGGTTACAGGACCAGACATCTGACATTCAGTTGATTATACTATCTCGATGATCACTAATCAATGCTTCAAATTTGTTGCAGGTTTCAATAAAGTTTGTTTTGCTGAATACCCCTAAAATGATCTAGCTTGAAATAATCCCATCGCCTTCACTGGGAAATATTGGCTAGTTACATGCATTTTTTATACATTTTCTGTTTACTAACAAATTGATGATTCATTCAAAATACTCCAAGTACAATACAAAACTGTGTATGCCTAAAGCATTCACAAAGTTCCCTATTCAGGTTTTCTGATTTACCAGTCAAACTACCAGCCCAATTACTTCGACATTTTACCAGGTCTACCTTGACAGATAAACAGTGAGATAACACGAAATTCAAGTATCTGTTGAATCCCACCCTTGTTAGAAATTCCACGTAAAATTGCCTGTGTGACTTCTTTATACGACAACGCCACAGACGAATTGGATTCCTTCAGAAGCGTGTTGTAATCACCACAAACATTACCACTTCTGCCCTTATCAATCCTTTTAAGTCTTTGAATAAATTCCGAAGGGTGGTTACTAAGTAATAGTGTCTCTTTAATGCCTTTCGATTCCTTATTCATGTTTTCTGAATCACCAGTCAAACTTCTAACCTGATTAATCCAACATTTTGCCAAGCCTATCTTAACAGGCACTCAATGAGTATCTGTCGAAGTTCTAGTATGAAGTCGCTAACGGTTGTTGGGTGAGCGAAGTCGGATGTGAGTACGGATACTTAGCGGTGACAATGGATAGTGGTCACGCTCCATCGTGAACTGATGGAAGTAGAAAAATGTGAACGATTGGGTTCTGATCCACGGACTCAATGGTAGCTTGCTAGACGTGAAGCCTGGAGGACCTGACTTTGGTCGATGGTAGGGTCGTGGGCGCACATTGCTCAGGAGTCCCATACTAGCACCAAACATCTGTTCGGAGCTTGTAGGCTTTCAGTCATCCCTCAACTAATGTCAGTTCGTGACGAGTATCAACTTGAAACCTATTTGAAGTAAATATGTGTTTGATTTCCCTCAATGGCTGGCGAAGTCTAAACTCACTACTTGTCGTGTTCGAACAAACAACGTCGTATTCCCTCATCCTATATAGATAGGTGTTCTGTAGCGTGACTAGTCGCTCGATGTTTACGCTTTATTGTGGTGAACACAGATACGCAGAGACACATAGCTAGTACACGATAGGCCTTGTTCAAGTATAAATAGAAAGTAATATGTTATCACAAATGATGACAGGATACCGTATGAGAATTTTCTCTTTCTAACTGTTCTAAATTTAACTTACATGTGTAATACTAACCAGGAATTCCTTTTGTCCACTTTCTCTCACATATACATTGACACTTCTGTTGAAGTTCCTGCATACTGAAGCTGAACGGACTGTTGTACTTGTTGTACGTCGATATTTCTGCCCTGCTCTACGTGATCTCATTGAACATGGTCTCATAAAGAAGGCTTTATCAATGATTGATGAAAATTCACCTCTCGGTTTAGTTAATAAACGAAGCATTTTCCTACTTCGTCCTATTCTAAACTGTTTAGACTTGAAATCAAGAAATTATTCAGAGGATGGATTTGAGTCTTTAGACTTGAATGAACCCTCATTGAATGATGAACTGTACACAAAATATTCTTCAGTATCTCGTTCTAATCATTTAGGATTTCATGCTTGGGATGTATTAATGAAGTTTTATCAAATCAAAGTGAATTAAACACTGTTGTACAATTAATGAATACTTGAAAAATGTTATTATTATTATTAATTATTCAAGTGACAAGTTATCTAGTGTGTTGACCAACTGGTTTCTGCATCTTCATTCATTGAATTTCTAACTGCATGAGTCTGTGAGTTGACCTAATTTTACATCACGGTCTATTGTCACTTTGCTGGTTACATGGATAGTCACAAATGACAGACACGGAAGGAAGTTATCTCTGTGTTATGGTGAGTGATTCTGTTTCCGACCTCATTTTCAGTTCTCATCCATCTCTTCCTCAATCGCAACATGTTATCAATGTCCATGTTGCTATTCACCATGGACTGGTATCAGTTGGAGAACCATTGGAAACCTGAGAGCACTAGAGAGCTGTTTCGTCTTGGCATAGGATCCCTCAGTAGCGTATACCCATAACCACACCAAGGATCTAACCAAGTATTTTTAGGTCTCGTGATCAGCATGTTATCCATTAAACCAGTGGGTCGGAATCTAATGGACCACATTGTTTTGTTTCGATCACTTCCCCCAAAAAAACATCCATGTCATCAATCTTTCAGTAATTCAGGACACTTGAGGAATATTTTCCTCGTAGAAAATGCCTTGCCGGTTTACTGAAGTTGTCTCATGTTATTGTGTAAAGGATTTACTGGAAATTAAACAAAGTGTAG